TTTTTGTTCCTACTAACAGTGCTATTCTAGGAAGGAAGATGCAGCAATCTACTTCCGTAGTGATACTGCCTCGGAAACACAAGGAGGGGTCGCTATGAGTTGGGTCCGACTCCACGGCAAATAACAACAACAACACAATAGTGCTATTACGAACATCACATCTCATATTTCCTGGAGTGTTGGTGCATGAGTTTCTCTAAGCTTTATTCTTGGGGTGAAACTGTTGGCATATAAAAGAAAACACACAAACAAAAAATATAAATGTGTTGCCCCTGAGTCCATTCTGACCCACAGCGCCCCTAGAGGACAGAGTGGAACTGCCCCACAGGGTCTCCAAGGCTGTCAATCTTTAGGGAAACAGACTGCCTCACTTTCTCCCATGGAGCAGCCAGTGGGTTCGAACTGCTGACCTTTTGGTTAGCAACCCATTGCTTAACCACTGTGCCACCAGGGCCCATTGTTGGGCTGCAGGGAAGGTAAATGTTCAACTCTAAAAGATAATGTCAGATTGATTTCCAAAAAGTTCTCATTTACACACCCACAAGCAAATAAAAGACACTTTTGACCTGTCCCTACTCTGACCTAAGGCATGGTCACAATTCCAGGTGGGGGTAAAAGTTGGTTGTTTCTTGTAGGAGCAATCAACCCAGTGCCCCGTATTTGACCCCGTGGGCTGATAACAAGATTCTAAGGGGGACTGCAGACACAAACGACTGGCTCCGTGTCTCCTGTCATTAGCGGTTCTCGTCTGTAACAGTCTGGCGTTTGCTTCCTGACCTAGAATCTGATGTCACTGTTTAAAAAGTTCTCCTTCTCAGCTCGGCTCGGGGCTCCGCCTGTCGGCTGCACCCTAAGTCCCACCCAGCCCACTCCTACGTCCTTGGTGCTGATAAAACACCTCTCCTCCGATTCTCCACCCCAGCAAAAATGCTCCTACCCCGGGCTCTAGGGGTGACGGCAGTGCAGAAAGCTGATCCCGTAGCTTCTAACTCGAGAAAGCCCCACTCTCCACTGGTAATGGCTGACGGCCCTTTGAATGCAGGGAAGGCACTCTGGGGGCACAGTGGTTAAGACACTCGACTGCTAAATGCAAGTTTGGGAGTTCGAACCCACCAGCCTCACCACAGAAGAAAGATGGGGCCAGTCAGCTTCTGTAAAGATTGACAGCCTTGGAGACCCTGTGGTGCAGTTCCACTCTGTCCTCTAGGGGCGCTGTGAGTCAGAATGGACTCCACGGCAGTGGGTGTGGTTTGGGCTTTGCTTCTGTAAAGATTGACAGCCTTGGAAACCCTGTGGGGCAGTTCCACTCTGTCCTCTAGGGGCGCTGTGGGTCAGAATTGACTCCACAGCAGTGGGTGTGGTTTGGGCTTTGCTTCTGTGAAGATTGACAGCCTGGGAAACCCTGTGGGGCAGTTCCACTCTGTCCTCTAGGGGCGCTGTGAGCAGGCGCTGACTCTAGGGCAGTGGGTTAGTGCAGGGGAAGGAGGAAATTCTGTGGTTTGCTTTCCTCCCATGATTCATGCCTGGCCTGCATCCAGCCCATCAAGTTCAACTCACAGTGAATGTGTTTATGATTCCCCTGCACGGAATTCTCTCCAGAATCTCATTTTATTTACTTACTGTCTTGTTCATTAATTAAATTTCAATAGCATTTTTTCCTCCAGAGGAGTCTGCAAATAACTTCTCCAATAAACATTTCATATAAGAGACTAACTCGGTGATTCAGTCGAGGTGATCGAAGCAGAGAGCGACTACAAAGAGAAGAGGGAGCGTGGCGGCAACGCCCGTGAGGACTGGGGGACGTGGCGATGCTTGCTTCCTGACGCCCCTTGGGAAAAGACGTCCTGCCCACCTGGGGAGTGCAGTTGGCAGCCTCCTCTAGCTCTCAGCTCTTTGAGGGTCTGCCTCAGCTGCAGAGGACCGCTTTGCTAGCAATCTTTCTTTCTTGGGACAGCTCAGTGACTCAGCAAGAACCCAAAACCAGTGGCCATGGAGTTGACTCCAACTCATGGCGGTCCCTGGAATGTCAGAGTAGAACTGTGCTTCATAGCTTTTCAGTGGCTGATTTTTTCACCTCCCGATGGGTATTTGAACTGTTCCCAGTTTTTGGATATTACAGATAAAGTTAATGTAGACACTCATGTACAAGTCTTTGTGTAAACATATGCCTTCATGTCTCTTGGGTAAATATAGAGGAATGGCTGTTATCATATGGTTTTAGTTATTTCAGGAGGTAAGGCAAATCCGGTTCCTATTATGCCATCAACTTGAGAGCAACACCACCAACAATACATTGAAGGTAGGGTACCTTGGCTCTTATGCTGAACATTTTTAAGTGTTTCCATTTGTATTTCTTCTTTTAATTTGCCTTCACAGTGAATTGAATCCTCTTCCTTTTCATGTACTCAGTTGCAACCCCACATGACAGAGTGGAACTGCACCACAGGGTCTCCAAGGCTGATTTACCAGAGCAAAGCCCAAACCACACCCACTGCTGTGGAGTTGATTCTGACCCACAGCGCCCCTAGAGGACAGAGTGGAACTGCCTCATAGGGTTTCCAAGGCTGTCAATCTTCGCAGAAGCAAAGCCCAAACCACACCCACTGC